TCTACTGCAACATGCAGTCTCTGAACAAGAAAAGGCTATTTCCAAATATTTATGGGGTTTTTTTATAGTCATTGTTAATTTGACAGTGATTTTATGCGTGGAAGGATTTTAAAAATTTTTAATGAATATTTGTGATGCTGTCTCTGCTGTATAATAAAAACCCAATGGTATCCCTAAAGTAGCTTTTTAATAGTATTGCTCCTGAAAACTTCTGGAACTGCAGGCAGTTGGGGGAAGTTGAAAAACTGCATTTTTGTATAGGTTTGTAACATACATGTTGTCCACACTTGGCTCTGAAAACAAATCACATATTTCCTTCCCACAGCTCTGATGCTTTCTTGTTTCCATGAAACAGCTTTTGAAGCTGCTTGCTAAAAGAGGATTTTGAAATAGTACCGTCTATAGACATGCTCAGTTGCTAAGTTAAAGTGTAACTGAGAATATGAATAAGAAAATTCTTCCCTCCCTTTTCTAGATAATCCAACATTAAGCTCTCTAAGGTATATGGCACTGAGGAGTTAAAATCACATACAAAAAGCCTAATGTCTTCAAGTCTAATGGCAATGTAAACATTACTTCAAAATTAGTCATAGTTAGAATAGAAAATAAAAGTATTTTTAAAAACCTTGAAAAACACATTTTAAAAAAAAAATTAATTGGAGATAATTTTAATTTCAAATGCTAAAACCTTAAATATGTAAAATATGGCTAAATCATATACTTATTTCTGTATAATGCAAGGGTAAATTTACAGTTTAAATTTGTATCTGCTGCTGTATTAACAAAAGTGTCAAATTGTACTATGTACACTGATAACTCAAAATGAGAAGCCATTTTAGTTTGTTAGCTGTATATTTAATATAAATCTACTAGCTAATTGCCATCAAAATGTAAGTTTTTTGTAGGTACTCATACTCTTATTAAATAGCCTAAATCTTATGAATTAGCCATAATGCTTATGACCTATTTTGGACCCAAATTCCATGAGACCATTTATCTGTAATGGATAACCTTGTGTCAGTTTGAAATGTTTTAATAAATTCTCTAACACTGACTTTTACCTCACTTGAGAAGCTGAAGCTAATCAAGCTATAGAAACTATTGAGAAAATTTTGGAAAATTTGGATTTAAACCCAGAGTTTTATATTTAAACAATCAATATAATTAGGTGAATTAGAGGAAAAATGTGAGAATCCTAGCACAGTTCTAGAAAGAAAAGCTACGAAACCACCAAACTGTATCTGTGTGTTTCTTTCTGAAAGATTTATCACCAGTTAACAATAAACACCAAGACAGTGTGAGAAAATTGTACTCAGGCCGACAACTTCAACAAATCTAGATACTATTTAGCAACAATTAATTTAACTATATTTAATATCCTAGGTGGGGTCTCCCTGAGGAATAAAATTGCTAATGGTGAATTTATCATAGGTATGTTAAACCAGAGC